GATATTATATCTCAGTTTCACTTGTAAGTAGATATTATATCTCAGTTTCACTTGTAAGTAGATATTATATCTCAGTTTCACTTGTAAGTAGATATTATATCTCAGTTTCACTTGTACTAGATATTTAGCCTTAATTTCACTTGTAAGTAAACATTCAACGACAGTTTCATTGTTTGCGATCATGATGTTTAGCTTCCAGCAGCTTATGAATTTGTTTAAACTCATTTATAGCCTACTTAAAAAGTCAGTTCAATTACAGTAGTTTTGGAACATTCTTTTGTTTCCCGATACATTTTTCTGTTCTAAATTTTTTTTTGAAATATTCATACCTGATTTTATGTACAACCAACACTTTCACAAAAAAATAGGTTCAGAGTGTCTCATCCTCAAAAGGAAGAAGCCCTTTCCCAGGAATTTTTTTAAAGTATATTTTTCTATTTATTGTGATAAAGGTAATTAAATGTATGAATTAGAAAATTCAAATGAAAAACAAATAATAAAATTTATCATGATACTAGATATCTTACAATGAGGCAATTGTAAATAAGTGTAGTGTGGCATGATTCTAAAGTGATCGTTTGTTAACACAAAACTGTCCTGCTGTGATAAATTGTTTATACATAACTCCAAGACAGTCTAAGTACAGCTGTAAAACAATAAAATTAATGAAACTAGATATGAAAAGGCTTAGGCTGTGTAATTGTCTACAACAATATGCAGTCATTTCAGAAAGAAAAAAGTATTTTGATTTTAATTTGTATTTTTCAACTTTTCATTTTACCCTACATTAATGATTTCACTACAATTAGTGTCAGAAAATAACAAATAAAATATAAAGTTTTACTGAAAAACTTTCAATATTCATTTAGAAGGTTCTAGAGGTTATACAAATAAAGTATAAGAAGCGTAAGATGAAACCAAGGATTTTCTTTCTCAACATAAAAATCACCTTTCACTTGCACTGATTCAGTAAAGGCTTCATAACTTCACAGAAAAATATTTAATGAAATTACTTTATTAAAAAATCTGACTTTTTTATGTACAATAGACTTGTAATGTTCACTAAAAGCTTGCCAAATTTCATGAAGATACACATAGTAAATTCAGAATTAAAGTAAAGATTGCAGTCCAATAGATCAACACCATTTACTTAGGGTTAAAGATGACTGATACCTCATAAAAATGAATAGAAACACACATACACATGCCTACTGTATGCTACCTATAAAGAACCGGATTAATAAAATATCAAGAATTAAAAAATCTATATTCACAGCCGACAGTTTAATGACAGATGATCCATACCTATTACACTAGACACCAGGTTTCTAAATTTGCGATGTGGGCCTTTGATTTCAGGCAGGTCCACTTGGAGGCACAAGGAAAGGCAGCAAGAAAAGTAAAAACACAAGAAATGAGGAGCAAGGGACTTTTTACTGGCAGATGTGAAAAAAGCATTCAGCATGGAAGTGTGCAAACTCAAGTTAACAGTGAGAAGGATTAGTTGTTAATTTGGGAAAAAAACAAACTAAACAGGAGATGTGATATAAAAGCATGTTTTATATAAAGTAATCTGATCTTTTACTTAAAAAAATTGACAAATAATTCTAAGGTAGTGAATATTATCCTATAAAACCAATCTTTTTTCTTTAGTTGAAAATTATGCAAGTTAAACAAAAGTTAACATTTTCTTAAATCAAAAATGTATTTCCAATAATACTTACCTCCTGTCACACTACAGCTGTTACTCGATTGGCAGGGTTTCTTCCTTTGCCCATCTATGCATTGATTTAATTTTTTCTCACTTGCCTCAGTCTTTGATACCCCACTTAACTGTCCTTGGCAATATTTGTCTCATGACATTCTCCACCTGTGTCAATGCACCCTCTGTCCGGGTACTGTATATAAGCACCTCAATCAGATAATGTTATCACTTTTTCGAGACTGACTCAATCCGCAGTCTCTAACACCAGCTTTTAGTGGGAGGAAGGATGGGAGAGTGTGGAAATACATTTTTCATTTAAGAAAAATGTTAACTTCCAAAACATACTTACCCCCTCTCACACTTATAGCTAGAATCGCACATTGATAAGATGGAGAGGAATGAAATGGCATCATCCATACAGAAAACATCGCACAGATCATGGGTGTGTCAACAGAAGATTGGCACCCTAGTGGGGGAACCACAATATATCCAGAACAGGTATGCTATTCACCCACAACTTAATTCATGTACTGTGGGTGGAACTCTACATGATTTATCATCACTGTTGCCCTGACCCCAATCAGATAGCTAAGTTTCCACTGCTTGGGGTTGGAATTATAGGGCCATGATCCCTATATCCCATGTTAGTGGATAGGGAAATTGGACTGCAATATATATATATATATATATATGTATACTTATTAGTGGATCACAACCTGTAACCACCAGAATCACGTCAAGAAGGTAAGCAACATCGAGGTGGACAAACCTTCTCCTCAACTTGAAGAAGTCCAAAAGGCAACACCCCAAGCTCGGAATGATGGGATCTTGTATGAAGAAACAGAACTCAAGTGGTCTGGAATTATTAACACTCATCCTCACTCCCCAACCATGTGGGTAAATTCCTCTTGTCCCCAGAATTATGGAGAGGATGTGGAACAAACTGTGCTCAACCAAGAACCCAAGATGGGACCACTCTGCATTCGGAATTACAAAAAGACAAAGGACCCTCTTCCACGAACAATGTGCTGAACCAATATTGATAAAAAAAAGAGCCACTCTCAACCCAACTGGATAGTCGAGCATCAAATTTGAACCTGTATTATGAGTAGGTTCCTGCATAGGCTGGTGCCTCTCCTACCGACATGTGGAAAAAAACATCCAGGGACCTCGTTAGATGGGCTCCCAGCTTCATCCTCTTCTAGGAAATCCACTCTAACACTCTGTATGAAAATCCTCTGTCCACGAACCCAGTGACTGAAAACCGGGTGTGGTAAGGACTCCCTAGCTTCACTAGTAGAAGCTGGGGGGTAATACAAGTTGGAGAGCCCTGAGGAACAGTGCTCTGGAAACAGTACAATAGGTGAACCAAGTTCCCTAAATTTTTAAAAGCAAGCCGATCCCCGATTTATTCAAGCCAATGATCAGCAAGGACAAGCAGGATCCCCTTATGCTTTACTCATGATAGTCCATGAGTGTCGGTCCAGCAGAGTAGAGTTATACCACCCAGTTTTTGTACAGAGCATGTTGTAATCTAGATAAAGTATATTGAATTACTGGTTGCTAATGTGGAATTGGTTTGATAAAAACACACCTGCTTGGACAACACTTGCCACAGAAATGGATCCTGTGAAAATGAGGAAAGGGACCTTTAAAGGTAAAGAAGAAACAAATGTAGCAATGAAACACTTTAAGAAACACCTCATTTCTACAGAGCCTGTTGTAATCTAGATAAAGTATATTGAATTACTGGTTGATAATGTGGAATTGATTTGATAAAAACACACCTGCTTGGGCAACACTTGTTACAGAGTGGGATCCTGTGAAAATGATAAAGCATCCTGTGAACAATCAGTGCAAACCCCTCTGACCGATGATGTCTGTAGGTCAGCAACAACGGAAAATAAACCTTCAGGGAAATGTGATACATGGCATACGAGACTAAGTTCACAAATGGGTGTTGAGAGACCCGTTAGTGATGCTTTGTTGAGAAAAAGTGATAACATTATCTGAATGAGGTGCTTATATACAGTACCAGGATAAAGGACACATTGATGTAGGTGGAGCGTGTCATGATACAAGTATCGCCAAGGGCAATTAAGTGGGGGTATAAAAGACTGGAGCAGGCAAGAGAAAATTAGATCAATGCTTAGATGGGCAAAGGAAGAAACCCTAGCAGACGAGTAATAGCTGTAGTGTAAGATGAGGTAAGAATGTTTTGGAATAAAAATAGTTTGAAATGTAACAATTGAATTAAATTATATATATTAAAATAAGCATTAGTTAATTAGTGAGGTAGGTCACACAGGTTATTTACCTACACAAGAGGAACTACCAGTAGCGCAGTGATTGAGCAATAGATCCTGTGGTTATTTACCTCCACCAAGAATAACTACCCATAGTGTAAAGGTTAAGTGGGAAGCTAAGTAGAGTTAAACAACCTGTAAAGAAGAAACTACCAGTAGTGCAGGGATTGAGCAACAGATCCCGTGGTTATTTACCTCCACCAAGAATAACTACCCATATTGTAAAGGTTAAGTGAGAGGCCCTACAGGTTGCTCAACTCCAGTTAGATGAACTACTAGTTGTGTAGGGATTGAGCAGTAGATCATGGGGTTATTTACTTCCACCACGAATAACTACCCATAGTGTAAAGGTTAATGGTGGGAGGCTCTATAGACTGCTTATCTTCACTAAGGACATGCAATGTGGTGTACTGGTATTTACATAATGTGATCAGTATGCTGTGATGTGACAGCAAGTGTTTACAACCTTATCATCATTAAGAAGTTTCTCTGCTGAGTTTAAAGAATGGTCACAAAATACTATTCAACAAGGGTCAAGGTTTAGTTTTACTTACGAGATGGAATTTTTCTGAATACTGTTTTGGCCATGAAGTCTTGAAACCTCTGAGCATAAAAAGAAGGTCTATGTACAGACACGGTGTCCTGAAAAGTAATAATCCAATAATGTCTCCATACATAATCTCATATTAACAGATTATGAGTAATATAATAAGTACACTGGCATTCGTACAGAAAGGTTTTACTGGTTTACAAAGTATACTGGCATTCTTACAAAAAGGTTTTACTGGTTTACAAAGTAAACTGGCATCTTACAGAAAGGTTTGACTGGTTTACAAAGTATACTGGCATTCTTACAGAAAGGTTTTACTGGTTTACAAAGTATACTGGCATCTTACAGAAAGGTTTGACTGGTTTACAAAGTATACTGGCATTCTTACAGAAAGGTTTTACTGGTTTACAAAGTATACTGGCATCTTACAGAAAGGTTTGACTGGTTTACAAAGTATACTGGCATTCTTACAGA